TGTGTGTGTGTGTTCAGGTTTGCAAGACGAGAGGTCAGGAAGCGATAGGTGGCGGGTATGGGGCCAATACACAGCGACACGCACAAGCACGTACACATCCCTCATCCGCAATGAATACATGCACAGGCAACCAGCGCACCTTGTCGTGCAGGGCCTTGAGTGCAGAGACGTCCAACTGCTTCAATCTGCACACACACACACACATGCCCTCACATTCACTCACACACACACGCACACACACACACATATACCCTCACATTCACTCACACACACAAACATATACCCTCACATTCACACACACACTCACATACCCTCACATTCACTCACATACTCACACGCATACCCTCACATACTCACACACACATATACCTTCACATTCACTCACACACACACGCACACACATACCCTCACATTTATTCACATACACACACGCACGCACCAGTTTGTGTTGTCCACTGCGTCGCTAAAGCCTGGAGTGTCGATGACTGTGAGGTTGAGGTTGACGCCGTTGTCACCGATGACCTTGGTACGTGGCGAGATCTTCACGGTCCGCTCGATGCGCTCCGATGCAGCGGGCACGATGTGGGGCTCTTCATCCTTCTGCATAAACAAGGTCTCGATCAGCGTGGACTTGCCCAGCCCAGCCTCGCCTGCGTCGTGGTGGTGGTGGTGGAGGAGGAGAAAGGGCCATGCTGCGTGACACTCCTGCGTAGATTCTTGTGCACGTTGTGCTACATGACAGGTAGACAGACACAGCAAAAGACGAACCGAGACGGACAGACAGGGAGACACGCACAGAGAGACGATGGTGTGTTGTTTGTACCTGCGACCATGAGGTTAAAGTCGAAGCCCTTCTTGGTCACCTTGCGAAACACCTGCTGCTGGATCCCAGACAGTCCAACGGACTGCCGCTTGAAATCTGCAAGCAAGCAAGCAAATTGGGGTGGTTGTCGGTGAGGGGGGGGGGGGGAAGAAGAGAGACAGCGAGAGAGAGAGAGAGGGTGGGGGGAAGGGTACACACACACGCATCCACACACACACACACACACACACACACACACACACACACACTCACTCACTCACTCACTCACTCACTCACTCACTCACTCACTCACTCACTCACTCACTCACTCACTCACTCACTCACTCACTCACTCACTCACTCACTCACTCACTCACTCACTCACTCACTCACTCACTCACTCACTCACTCATTCACACACACACACACTCACTCACTCACTCACTCACACACACACACACTGCTGTTCACAAAGACAGACCGTTTCGTTGAGCCATCTTCGTGTTTGCTGCTGTCTTTTGCTGCTGTTGTTGAAAATGAATTTTCACTGTCGCTTTATTTTTGTTGTTTCAAGGAACCCACAAGTGTGCAAACTGGATCAATTTTATCATATGTTCCCAGCACCTTATCGTAGAGACAAGTCTGCGCCACTTGCATAGCGAGTAAGTCCCTCGCCTTTTACTAGAGACTGCACAGTTTAGCGTCAACTCTCGTCAGTTGCCTCGCATTCCGTGCCAGTGGTGCAAGTAGACAATACTCTTTATTTTTGGAGCCCCTTCAGCGGGGAAACAAGGTCTCTTCCTTTCCTTCTCAATCTCAAAGAAAAAGAAACGTACCACAACACTCCACATACAACCTCACTCACACCTCACGTCATATCGCTGCACGCGTGATCCCACCTCGCTGCTCCTGCACAGTCTGACTGCGATGCTGGTGGATGAATTTGCGTTGCGCCATGGCGTTTACGCGACTCTGATGTACTTCGTTCTCTACTTTGCGCTGCTGTTGAACCAGTCGTTCACTGGAAGGCGCCTTGCCATCAAGTACCGCAAGCTCAAGAAACCCTTCTCAAAGTCAGTGCGCGCGCGCGTGTGTGTGTGTGTGTGTGTGTGTGTGTGCCTGCATGTCTGTGACACTGCCTCTTCTTGTGCGCATCCACCAGTGTCAGCCCGAGGACGCCCACCCACTTCCTCCACACACACACACACACACACACACACACACACACACACACACACACACACACTACCTACCACCACCACACACACACACACACACACACACACACAC